GGGGGGGGGGGGGGGGGGGGTGCTATAGACGCTCACGCTCAATCATTCGCTGCCCAAACCAACCACGAAAGTGATTGGATATTGTAAGAGTTTGCCTTATGGGTTGCCTAAGTTTCCTTGCAACTGGATAATAGGCTAGTTCTTTGTTTTGACATGACGTCGCTAAAAAGAACTATCGATCCTCTTTAGTTTTACTTTCATGAAGAGTTAGAGCAGCTTTTTTTAAAAAAGCTTTTTCTCTTAAAATTTTTTTCTTTGAAAGGGTTCTTCGTTTTGTGATAGAGTACACCTGAATTTCTAACCTTTTGAACGACATAGAATTTACGTGGCGATCTAGAGAGCTGTGATAAAGGGTAAAAAGGTGGCTTATTTTGGGTAATTTTGCTATCTGAACAGTCCTTGTATCAGAAAAAATATTACTTTAATGTTTATGAGTTTCCCGAGGAATTCTCGCTTTCGCAGCAAAATCAGCCTGAGAAAACATCCGACATTTCACGACGCCCACCACAGGCTTCCCACGAAATGGCGTCGAAGAAACAAGTGTAGAAATTCCATACTGATAACGCGTCACTTCCCACTTCTGATTGCTGAAGCAAATTTTCCACCCGGCACGACCAATTAAAAGCACTACCCACGTTTGAGTAGTAGAAGCAGTGACGCGTCATCAGTATGGAATTTATGTACTCGTTTCGCACACGTCATTTCGCGAGGAAACCAGTGGTGGCGTCGCCGTAAAATGTCGGCTGTTGGTGCCCCTCAGATAGGTACCAATATGGCGTCTCCATTAGACTGCAAAAAAGTCTTTTTTTTTTGGCTCAAATCGGTTTTGCAAGGCGCAAACGGCGTGATATTGCAGGAATACGGACCGTTTTGCATTCTACGTCTCCATACAAAGCTCTATAAATTTAAGTAAAATTAAATATTTCTCCGAATATCTCGCATAGAAATGATTGCACTGACATGAATCTTGGCTGGGTCTTTGCATATTTACGTTTTTTTATTTCCCAGATTCTGGAATTTATCTATTGAACGTACGGCTTCGTATCATCATGTTCGATGGCGTGACAGTGAAAACCAGTAATAGAAATTCCATTAGACTGCTTCCTGGACTTATCTTTATGTAAATTCTGCGCATAACTCCCTTTGGGAACTAACTATTCAGTAGGATTTTAATGACTACTGCACAGGCTGTACATAATTGAACACCTAATTACTTGAGTAATTAAGAGGCAATTAAGCTATTTGAACATTACGTCATGGAAAATCCGCTATACAAATTCATAACTTGTTATTATGAAAATACTATTATATACACCCCTTTGTTTCAATGCCGTTCCAAAAGCTTGTTTTATGCGGACGGATATTTGAAGGTTAATTTCTTGTAAACGAAAGCCAAAGAAAAATAATTATCTAGGGAAATGAATTAAAACTAAATTACTATTATAAACACCTTGCCATGCTAGATTTATGTCAGTTGCTTGCTACGTTTTGTATTCCAAACAAAATAAGCCGTCAGCTCGATTCTTATGAAATCAGAATATAATTACTTTAAAAAACAATTGTATTGACACCTTTTCGATACTGTACGAGTAAACGCTCGAGATGAAAGTTTCGAGAGAACAAACCATTGGACAAATATTTCAGTCATTGCAAGATATATAGCCGCTGTGCCCAATTACGAGTCCAGCATTCAGCTAACTATTGCAGAAAGGTTGAATAAGTTAGTTATGGCCTTAAATACATGATTATGCATCATAATGTTTTCACAAAGACAGAACCCACCATTAATTATACGTTATCTTGTCGTTGTTTGATTTTGTGTCTCACCTTAATTTCCAGGGGTTTTTAGGGTACGCTAGTAAAGCAATAAAGTCATTTGAAAACCACATTCTGATAAGTTTGTATAGCTCTAGAGGAGCTCTTCAATAGAAATCTCTTAGTTTAATTTATGAACAAGAACGTCGAACTAGCTGCAAAGTGGAAAGCTCGCTTCGTCCTGTGTGTTAAAAATATTACGGCTCTATACTTAACCAGATCAGCTTTACCTTGGTCAGAATGTCATTGCAGTTTACGGCTTTAAACCTTGCACACAGTTTCCTGATAAGTTGACTTTTTCCACTGTTGAAGTGACTCGTAAACTAGTCAAAGCCTCATTAACTCTGGTATTGCCACTCGGGGTGTTAAAAGTACAAATATTTTCACTTTTTAATACTTAACTATATTAGCTGCTGCACAACTTTTGTTGATTCAGTTTAACTAACTTGTTAAAGCCGATGTTCTCTTATGACGTGCATATCTGCGTAGTACAAAAAGACTTGAAAAGATTCATATGGCGTCAGCAAATCGGATTTTAAGCTCCATTCAGGTCTTCAACTTAACAGTGAACGTTTATGAAACGAACAAAGCGTATGG